GATTGTGTGATCTACAACAGACGAACCACCGCCTCTCATAACGTCGGGGCCTTCAGAATTGGAATAGGGTTTCGGGGTTTCCTTATTGGAATTACAGTATAATGTGCCCCAGACCCCATTCTAATTATTAAGGCCCCTACATTATGAACTGGGGATCCTTGGAGGCTTTCTGTAGTGTGGATCTACATTTCTTGCAGTGTCTTCATGCTTCCGTGGGGATTTTTTGAGACGTCGGGAGAACGGCCCATGACTTTTTGAGTGGGAAGAGGCTTGTCAGTGCTTTCGTGATTAGGTCTACATAAATCCCCACATAAAGGCCTGATTGCATGTGCAGTCCTGTGACGGTGTGTTTAGGGTCAAGTGTTTGAGGATGTTTGAGGTGTATAGGGCTAGCTCGTCGAGCGCGCAGAAACTTCAGGCAGCCTTGGATCACGAAACGAAACCCAAGACTGCACCCCTTAACCCAAACTAGTCGAACGATGATGGTAGAGTGAACCTCGACTTAGAGGGTCTTGAAGCAAGACATAACTCTAAACCCCTAAACCCTAAACCCCAAAACCCTAAACCCTAAACTGGTGCTCCCACACCCACATGTTTTTGCTTAGCTCAGTTCTCCCATACCCAACCTTTTACCTTTTTGGGTTTTCATAGCCAAGTCGTAATCTGACAGTTTAACCTCTTATTTGCCTGGTTTATTGGGGAAGTAAGTTAGTGCACCCAATAACCCTAAACCTCTCAACTCTAAACCCATAAAATCCTAAACTCTAAACCCAACTTCTTCTGTCCCTGATGGCAATCCGAGGCTACCCCCTTCTCCCGAGTTTGGCCAGCTGTGGCGTGGCGGCAGTTTATTTTAGGGTTTGGAATTCCTAGGGCGTTTTAGTTTTACAGGGTTTAGTGTACGGTTTATAGGGTTTATAGGGTTTACAGAGTTTAGGGTTTAGGGTTTAGGGTAACCCTCAGCCCTGAACCCTAAACCGGGCCCCTGGGGAAGGCTAGGGTTTAGGGTTTAGGGTGTAGGGTGTAGGGTTAGGGCTTATAGGGTTTATAGGGGTTATAGGGTTTATGGGGTTTAGGGTTTAGGGTTTATAGGGTCTATAGGGTTTAGAGTTTAGGGTTTAGGGTCTAGCTTGGGGTTTCGGTTTGAGGGTTTAGGGGTCGGATTTCAGGTTCCTTAGCAGTACCCTGTCGCCCTTTCTTTCCATTCTGGGGGTCTCCTTCTTCGGTTTTAAGATTCGGAAAAGGGGTGCCCTTGTTACTAAGGGGTTTAGGGGTTTAGGGTTCAGGGGTTTAGGGTTTAGGGTTTGGGGAACCCAATTTTAATCCTACTGAAGGTCCTCGCGGGAGCAAGAGTAGCGATGCTGATAGTTGTTGCATCAAACGGTTACCTGCGCTGGCAACCACTGCAGAAATCAAAGGAGCAAGAAGGATAGTGGCCACAAGATCAATAGCATCACTAATGGTCGAAGTTCAGGGAGGGAGGAGGAGAAGCATACGCATCCAGCTATCTCACCTTCTCAACCGGGTACACAAGACCGCCACGATTCCTTTTTTGCGCCCTGGGGGTAGATGCCATGTTGGACTTAGACTCCGACGAGGAGGAGTCGGCCCACGTTTCGCGGCAGTTCTAACTGCTGCTGCTGGTCGGCGTCGTGTTTGTTGTGGCCTGGGCTTGAGGTCTGAAAAGCCGCTGAGGCGCCGAGTACGCCGCGCGCGTTCTGCAAGTTTCCCTGCTCGTTTGCGAATCCCCCCATGAAGACATCCTGTTCTGCGGATCAAGCAGGGCCACAGCATCAGAACCATCAAATGAACATGCCTGGGCCTGTTCGGATGGAGATTCGGTGACTTTTGTTTCTGATCCTAAACCCAAGCCCCAAACCCGCCAGCCGGCTTGCCGGGATCCTTTCTCCATAGGACTCCACATAGACGCATGATTTGTTGCCGACACTATTCCTAAGGGCTCCTGGTCTGAGTGATGATGCAACAAAAACCCCCAAGCCTCATGCTAATTACTCAGGCTCCTGTATTGCACTGCTCCTGATGATAGCTCTTGCCTTGTGACAGAAACCCATACTTCAAAGAATAATAACCTCCTGCTATAGTACGTCACCTGACTATGAATGAAGCCCCAGACCGAAACCCCAAACACCAACCCTTGACAAGCCCTAAACTCTTTGGCGGAAGGGTTTTCGCAATTGCATCCAAAAATTTTGCAGATTAACCTTCTAGAAGAGCCTTATATCCTATTAAACCCTAAACCCTAAACCCTAAACCCAAACCCTTACCCCCCAAATCCTGCAGACCTAAGCCCGAAACCCAGCACCCTTAAACCCTAGGCTGCAAATCGTAAACCTCCCATGCCTAGAGCTACGCCCTAAGCCCTAAACACCGAACCCTAAAAACCCTAAACGTTCAGCCGGAACCCTAAAGCCTAAACCCCGAAACCCCTAAACCCCTAAACCCTGAACCCTAAACCCTAACCCCTCAACCCGAGCCCTAAACCCTTAACCCTGAAAGCCCTAAACTCTCAACCCTCAACCCTAAACCCTAAACCCTAAACCCTGAAAGCCCTAGCCTTTTGCGGTCAGACCCGGGCTCGGATATCACGCGCAGAACATCCGAATCACACCCCTAAGCCCTAAACCCTAAACACTAAACGGTTTAGGGTTTAGAGTTTCGGGATAAAGCCCTGAACCCTAAGCCCTAAGCCCTAAGCCCTAAAGCATACGACCAGAGACGCTGTGTCACAGGCTCACCAGGTGACACCGTATTCGGGGTTTTGGGCATAGGGGTTGGATGTTGTAGAATATGAACCCAAAGCCCTCATGAAACTTTGAATCCTGTAGCAATCAACCCAAAAGCCCAAACTTTAAACCCAAGGAGTGTGACGTTGAACAGGAACTAGTCAAACCGCAAAGGGTAGTTGCCTAAATTAAGGTCCCTTTTAGGGTCCTTTAATTATAAGGTGGCCGCACTATAATACTTTGGGACCTAAACAGGGACCTTGGTTTAGAGAACTACCCTTATAGCACCCTTATAGAGACCCTTATAGATCCTTTTATGGAGCCTTAAACAGGAACCTTAATCTTGAGAACCACCCTAAACCCTAAACCCTAAACCCTAAAACCCTAAACCCTAAACCCTAAACCGTTCCTAGAAGGAATGTGGTGGTGACCCCACCTGCAGCTTCATCGCTGCTTCCCACTCCGGTCCCTTGGGCGTTTCACGGTTTTGTGGTTCAGTTTTGAGGGTTTGGGTTTAGGGTTTAGGGTGAAGGGTTTAGGATTTAGGAACGGTTTTGCGGTTCAGGCTTGACATTTCCGGCTTCAGGGTTGCAGGTTAGGGTAAGGGTTAAGGGTTTAGGGTTTAGGGTTTAGGGTTTAGGAAGGGTTTAGGGTTTAGGGGGTTTAGGAAGGGTTTAGGGTTTAGAGTTTAGGAAGGGTTTAGGGTCAAGGTTTCGATTTTAGGGCGTTCCGTCTTTTGGTCCTTAGCTTGTGGGTTGGACCTTTGCATGGCTGGGCTTTGGTGCTGCTATAGGAGCCTGAGCCATGAGTACTTAGTAATGTTCTTTTCTCCTTGTGTCTCCGAAGGTAATCATCGTATTATATGCCCCAATTCCCTATTCTCATCATCCAGGTCCCTGTAGTGACACGATTCCCTGGGGTTACTGATCAGTTGTCAGGGAGGCCCTGGTAGAGTTCGAGGGGCTTAGGGTTCTACAATGTTGGCTTTGGCAGGGGCCTTTGAAGTCTTCCTTGCGGCTGTACATGGGGTCTTGGGACAAAGGGGGCTGTCGAGTTGTGGGGTGTCTGGTCTCTGGAATTGCGTGCCTCACGCGACAGTTCAGGGTGTCTTGTTAGAAGCGATAAACCTTCAACCCTAGAGCCTAGAGCCACAGCCCTGCAAGATGTAATTCTCAATCTCGAGACTTTTTATATTGCCAACCGACGACTGCTCACTTCTTCATAGCTCATATTGAACCCCCGAACCCCCACTTCCCCCTCCTTTGGCACAAGTGCACGCGCCCTTCCAGGGCAGTGCCCAGTCGTGTCAGAGCACTAGAGTAAAGAGCCTCAGAGCCATTATTGCATTCGTGTCACAAGGCGCGAGTCACAACTTCCAGTATGACTTGAATCAAAAGCCCCAAAAACCCTAAACCCTAAAACCCTAAACCCTAAACCACACACCGACAACCCTATAGACCCTACTGCCCGATCCTGAAGCCCTAAACCCCAAATCCCGAGCTTCAGCCCAACACTCGCTGC